GCTTGCAAAGCAGGTGCTCTATTGTTTGAGCCACACCTCCAGGCCATTGTGCTCTGGTTAATCTGGAGATGGAATCTCATGAACTATCTGCCCCGGCTGGCCTCAAACCAAGATCCTCCAGATCTCAGACTCCCAAGTAGCTAGGATTACACATGTGAGCCACCTGGCAAGCCAATAATGTTTTGACAGAGGAAAATGAAAATGCTTTTACTATAAACTTGCATAAACAAGAAAATATAAAATAAAAATTTGCTTTTGACTTCTTTTCTTGGGAAGGCATAACCTATAGAAACATAAACATGTACTTTCCCTAGACTTCTAGAAATAATGCAAAATATAAAATTGAGACCCAAGGTGAGGCACCACCCAAGCTGAGTATCACTCAGCTCTTTCTTTTATCTGACCAGAGAAGGAACACTGCCCTTGTAGCATGATTACTTCCAAGCACAAAACTTTAAAAAGTACAGATTTTTTTTTGAGGTGCTGGAGATTTAACCTAGGGCTTGTGAATGTTAGGCAAACATTCTACCCCTTGAGCTGTATATCCAGCCCTTTTGTTTTTATTTTGTTTTTGAGATAGAGTCTCTACACTAACTTTGCCCAGGCTGGCCTTGAATTCACAGTCCTGCCCCTGCCTCCTGAGTGGCTGAGATTAAAAGCGTGCACCACCACATCCTGCATAAGAAGTATACATCTTGAATATCCTAGTCCAAAAACAAGATGGCAGTGCCTGAATGAAATAGGCACTACCATCTTTTGTATTTCATATTGTACTCTTTGCTTTTATCTCAGTGGAGAGAATACAGCAGTGATAATAGTCGAGAGTTGGAATAGGTGACCTAGTTAAATTAAAAACCCGCTTCTCCACTCTATAATACATATATACGTGGAATATCCCACAAGAGCCAAAATATTCATTCTTAAAGCCATGCTTGCCTTTAACAGGAATATATGTAATATGTCAGGAAAGATGTGACATCTACAATTATACATTGATTAAAGCAGGCCTTGCCAACACCAGGGCCATTTGACAAACTGTGGAACTTTTTATGTACCGGGGAATGAAACATAGCAAAATGAAGGATTGGTGAGGTCATCCCTTTCTTTTGTAAGGTGCAAAGATGAATTGAGAAAAGGGAGAATAGAAAGGAAAACTGTCTCAACTGCTTTTTCAGAAGGATGAACTTTAGGAAAAAATTAAGATGAGGAAAAAGTTGATTCCCTTGAAAATTTGTTTCCCACATATTCCCTGGAAAGCCTTCCTGTACATATTCTTCAGCTCAAAAACTGATGAAACATATCATAACATCTCCTCATTCCTTCAGTAACTAACTGCCCTATGAATTCTATGGCCCTCAAGGTCTAGTCTTCATTTAAAATCTCTTTCATCTACTATAAAGAAATCAGTTTTATTTTCATGTGTGACTTCTGGACTCCAATCTCATTTTATACTTTATTTATATTTCATGTCAGGTACAATGGCAGCAAAGGGAAAGAGGATAATGTTTAGCTTTGAACCTACAAGAATGAGAATTTTGATTTTTATAAAAGGGGAGAAATATATTCTAGGGAAAAACATATGTCTGTTGAGATATGAATTCAACTGTTGTAACAAAGATTCAGACTAACAGCAATTGCTTAAATAAGTCTCACTGGCCTTTTTTTCTGCTCCTTAATGTCAGCTTGTTCTCACCTGAAAGTTGTTATACCTGTTTCCTCTGCTGTAATGTGTTTCTCCAGATCTGTCATGACCGGCTCTTGCTGCTCTCACCGTGTCATCTCCTCAGAAAGGCCTTCCTTTGCAAGCTTGAAGCCCCGAGTTCAAAGTCCAGTCCCACCAAGGGAAAAAAAAAGCCTTCCTCAGTCATATTAATGTAGCGAACCAGTCACACTCTATCACTGCAGTGAGGAGCTGGCAATACGCAGTGCTTCTCTACCACGCATGAGGCCCTAGATACAACCACCAACACAGCAAAATAACAAACCAAATGCAGGTTGCTGGTGCTCAAGTCTGTAATCCTCATTTGGGAGGCTGAAATTGGGAGGATCAAGGTTTGAAGCCAGTCCAGGCAAAAAGTTCAGATGACCCCACCTCAACCAATAGCTGGGCATAGTTATGTTCACCTGTCATCCCTGCAATGGCAGGAAGCATAAAATAGGATTACAGTCCAGGATGGCCAGGGCAAAGAGCAAGACCCTATCTCAAAAATAACCGGAGGAAAAAAGGGCTGGAGGTATGGCTTAAGCGGTAAAGCACCTGCATAGCAAGAAGGAAGCCCTAAATTCAAACCCTAGTACCACCAAAAAACCAAACAAACAAGTATGCAACGGGGAAATAGAGACAGGGCTCCAATGAGAAAAGCAAATTTGGAAAAATAAAATTTTTTAAATTAAAAAAAATGATAAATGAGAAAAGCAAGTTTGATATATCAGATTCCCAAGGTATTAAATATAAGAAGCATTAAATCTTTAAGAGTGTTCCACTTCAATGGCAAGAGAAGTGATGAGACTAAAAACTGTAAAAGGTGGGATAAAGGCTGAAGGCACAGCCCAAGAGGTAGAGCATCTGCCTAGCAAGCAAGAGGGCCCAAGTTCTAACCCCAGTACTGGAAAAAAAAAAAAAAAACTTTTTAAAAAATACAAGATAGAATAGAGTGGTTCCTGAAGGTAGGAAAAAGTTTCAGTGAGAGACAACTGATTATCTCTCAGTCAAGAAAAAAATAGAAATAAAAAGCCATTGAATCTGGAAAGATCATTTGTGACCAATGAACAAAGGAGGAAAAATGTAGAGCTTAAGGACATAGTAGTGGTTAAAGATCATTACTGGAGCAATTTGTCAATAAAGAAAATTAATACTGCAGCAGGATTGATTGAGTTTGTTTTTTTTTTGGTTTTTGTTTTTTTTTTTGCGGTACTGGGGCTTGAACTCAGGGCCTTCACCTTGAGCCACTCCACCAGTCCCAATTTTTTGTGATAGGGTTTTTCGAGATAGTTTCTCAGTTTCGAACTGCAATCCTCTTGATCTCTGCCTCCTGAGTAGCTAGGATTACAGGTGTGAGCCACGGTACCCGTCTTAGTAAATTTCTTTTTCTGAGACTTGCTCGTTTTTCAAGGGAAATAAGATGGAGAACAGAGAGAATAGAGAGTGGTGGTTGAGGAGTTGTAGCTTTATTATTTTCCAAAAGGCTGCAACACAAAGGTTAACAACCCCTGCTGAGGAGAAAGAGAATAGGTGAGTCATAACACAACAACGAAAAAATCAGAGGTTCAGAGAAAGGCTAGGATTTAGAGAAAAGATGGAAAACCTTTCAAAAAGACGCTACAGATGGAAAAGTTCACAACTGCACCATCATCTCATTAAAATCGGTAATAAAGGCAGAACTGGAAACGCGAAGCTTGTGCTAACAAGCTCCCGCGAAAAGTGAGGAAGTCCGGCAGATGGAGAGGCAAGGGCGCCTGGGTCCCTAGGCGGGGGATGCCGCTGCAGCGTCCGGCCAGCGAGCCTCGGTGCGGCGGGCCTCCGCGCGTAGCGGGCATCGGTGCTACCACCGGTGGGCGCCTCTCCGGCCCCTGCCAACCCGACTGGGAGCGAGAGCTGGCTGGTCACAAAAGGCAATCATGACCGGCAGTGGGGTTTACCAGTGAGTCAGCCCGGGGACAAGATGCTGACGTTTCAAAAGGGACAAACTGTACCTCCGAGCTTCCCCATAGTTGCCATACTGTGTCTGCTGCGCTTGGGACGCTGCCTCCAGTCCACCTCTCCACCTGTCGTCATCTCTGAATCATCCCGCCCCATTTCGACATCTCCATTCCCAGATTCCAGCCCTCGGCCTGGCGCGAAGCCCAGCCATCGCCAGTCCCTAGAGAACTCATTCATCCGACCACTGCGGGGTTCACTTTAGGTGCGAGATCATTTGCAGGGAACTAGGGTCTGAGACCCATAAAAGTCCTTGCAGAGTCCGCCCGCGGCTTCAGGGCCCAATTCGTCAGACCCCACCGGAGTCTAACGGCCACCACGGTACTCCCTGGAGGTGGAGAGGGCGTGAGCCCGCATGTTGCAACAGTTTCCCGGACCCGCGCGCGGGCGGTGCCAAGGGATGCTGGGTCCAGGCCGGCTCCGCCTCCCGCCAGCCCGCCATGAGATCCCGCGGGAACAGAGCTCCCGGGACCAGGGCCGCGCGTCTTCTGGGCACACGGGGCGTGCGCTCGAGCGCGAGTAATAACGGCACCCGTTAGCGGTTTGACCTTGAAGGCCTAGCAGTGCCTCTCCACTCCCACTCCCCCACCCCCCGCCGCTCGACGATCCAGCCTGCAGCGCCCGCAGCACCCACAGCCCCACCGGCGTCCCGCTGCGGTCCACAGCCGGTCCCTATCATCCCCAGGCGCTTCTTTCCGTAGCCAATTGGAGACCGATGTGGTGCGGACCAATGGCCGCCGCCAATCGAACTTCAGCCTTAAATTTCTCCCGCCCCTGAAAAGTCAGAGGCGGGCTTATCTTCCAAGTCGGCCAATCGGTAGCCAATAAACAAGAAGCTTCTAAGATCAAAGGGGAAGGGGTGGACCTAGTCGGCAGCTGCGCTTCTGGACGGAAGAATGACAGACAACTTCACGAATATCACAGACAGATTTTTTTATACGTAAGGAAAGGGGTGGGGCTAAATTGGCGTCTACACCAATGGTTGGCTGGGGGGCGTGTCCGCGGGCCAAGCGGGAGCCGGAGGCCCCGGGCTCTCTGGGCCGCGCCTGAGGCGGACGCAACGGGGCCGGGGGGCGGCGGCGGTAGTGGCGGCTGCGGCGCGAGTGGGCGCCGCGGCTGGCCCGGGTGGATGGAGTTGGAGGGGCGGAGTACAGGCGGCGTGGCGGGGGGGCCGGCGTCTGGGCCCGGGCGAAGCCCCGGGGAGTCGGCGCTGCTGGACGGGTGGCTGCAGCGGGGCGTGGGCCGGGGGGCCGGCGGCGGGGAGGCCGGGGCCTGCAGGCCCCCGGTACGGCAGGATCCAGATTCTGGCCCGGACTACGAGGCGCTGCCGGCTGGAGCCACTGTCACCACGCACATGGTGGCAGGCGCCGTGGCAGGGATCCTTGAGCATTGCGTGATGTACCCCATCGACTGCGTCAAGGTGAGACCTGGACCGGGCTCCAAACCCTACCTGGGATTGACCTGACCCTGAGTCCTGTCTAGAGCCAGGATCCCGGCTGAGAGCCGGAGCCGACAGGTTCCTTCCTGGCTTATACTACACACGATTGGAACCGATACTCCATGCAAGCAGAGTCCTGGCTGTGAGATGAGCCCGGCCAGGAACCAAGACCTATTTCTAACCGTCAATGAGATCTGAACCCGAACTCGTGATCAAATCCCTGGATCCCACCTGGGACTAAGGAAGCAGGAGTAGGGTGGGATGGGGGATCCCGAAGCAAGGTAAGTGCTACCAACTCGATTGAGGCGACGCCAACTGTTGTGAATCAGACCGTGAAGTGGATCTTACGGCTTGAGATGTTTTTTGGGTAGGTGCTTTTACGAGCTTCTTGCTGTGTCTTCCCTTAAAAGTGACCGGGCAGGAAGGAACTGGATCTGGATCTCTGAGCTAGATAAAGGACATATTAAATCTTAACCCATGAATGATTGGAAATCATTGGACGGTCAGAAGTCAGAGTTCCAGGCTGCAAGTATTACGGGAAACAACGCGTTCAGGAAAAGGTTTCGGTTTCTCTGTGAAGCAAGCTTGATATCCCACCTATTTCCTGAACGTGAAAATTGAGCTGGGATTAAGACTGTGTGTGTTCAGGGAGCTCATCAGCCCACACACAAGAGAGATGAAACCAATAGTGTATTTCTTTGGCACCTGAAGTTGATAAAAAGGGAAAAAAAGTTGTCTGGAAGGAAAGTGTGACAGTATTAGAAAGTAGATGTAATTGGGAAGAAAATGGAACGAGCTCAACACGGCAACAAGATTAGTGTGAAAATAAAAATTAATTGCATCCACAACCAAGCAAGATTGGTGGATACAGAAGTCAGGTCCTTTTGAAGAAAGCTGGGTGAAGATGGGAACGGTTATTGTTTTTTACAATTCTTGTACATTAGTAACGGCGCCAACACTAAAAGTGAGATTTAATTTGAGAGGGAAGTAAACTCGAGGGGATTGTTGAAATGACTGTGGTACAGACTGGCGCTTCCTTTACGAATTAAAGGCAATGGTTAATGATGCCCAGGCAGTTCTTTGATGTATGTTTTCTCTTCAAATTAGGAAAATGCTAATATTTTATTCAAAAGAAGGAGAGTACCAACTTTGGCAATGCAAAGTAGGGCTCTTCTGCTTCAGCCTGGTTCCAGTACTGTTTGATGTTTGTCTTAGCAATATGAATTAGAAAGTGGGGAAAGTGTTCATGAAGCCTTGTGAATGACACAGCTGACAGGAGCACTTTGGCACACTGCAAGGTAACTTTCCAACAAGGGCCACATGCATTGAAAATGTGGTTAAGTGTACTTGACTAAGATAAACATTAGAATTTAAAATGCCCTTGCCATTAATAGACTAAGATCATGAACTGGATCTTACAGCTTGAGGTGTTCTTTGAGTAGGTGCTTTTATAAGCAACTTGCTGTGATTTCCCTTAAAATAAATAAACAGAAAAACCCATTTGAAATTGCTACTGAAATGTAAAATGAGTAAATACAAGTAAGAAAGATTCAGACATTTATGTAATAGACTCTAGGTTGAATGAGTTAATAATGCTACATATCCAAAAGTAGTTATGACCTAGCTGCAGAGTAACCTCATTCCACTTCAGTTCTGAGTAGAGTGCAGGGTTTAGGGTGCTATGTTTCAGGAGGGGTATCAAATGAAAAACAGATGAGAAAGCAGTGAAAATTGCTTATGGCTTGGAAAATACAATGGGAGAATGTGACTGACTTAGGAATGTTACTACAACTTACCAGTTTAACTGTTGTACTATTACAATGGGAGGCTGCCTTCTTAACTCCATATATTTACACAATGCTATTGTTGCTGTAAACATTTTATAAATTCCCTTTAGAAATGCCTCTAGAATATCCTTAATGTGGTTAAATATTTGTCCTGTGACAAGATCAATCAAAAGATTGATTTTGCAGGAGCAGAGACCACTCAGAATCAAATATGGCAAATAAGGTGAGATATCAGAATGGGCCTTACTGCTTGGGGTCAAAGATAAGGTGAGGTTGGAAAACAAGGACCCTGATTTACTCCTGAGGCCTATAAACCCATTGAGAGAACACTTGTAAAAGAGGAGTTCCATAAATGTTTTGCATAATCACAGCATTACTGGAATAAGTCACTTCTAGTCTTCCAAGGTAACTATTTTGAAGAACAGTACCTATTCATCTATGTAACCTTTGGAATTTTTGTTTTTAGAAAATTAGTCACATTACAATTATGCCTCTCCAGGCCCTACATAAAGAATCTTTTCTCATTTGCTATTAATGCTGGGGTTTAAATTAGAAAGGAGACCAGTATGAGTTAAGGTCCTTATGTTAAATGCTTTTGTGCAGGCATGAATGTAAAAATCAAATCCCTTTCTTTAGAAAGGGATTCCCAGTTTACTTGACAGCTAGTCTTTTATCATAAGTGGATGGTGGGGTGGAGAAGCAGCCCACCTGGACCCTAAGACTGGACTGGAAGCACAGGTATCAGTGTTATTGCCTAAATGGCAACCACAGTGTTTGCAAAGGAAAGCTGACGTTGCCTCTTGGCATGCAGGTGTATGTATCCCCAGCTATTTATCAGGGTCAAGTTGACTTAAAATATCCTTGGGAGGGACTATGGGAAGTCAACACAGCCTTGCTAGGTCATGGTTATCCAGCCAGCTATTTCCATGGTCATAATAGGGAGGTTTGGGAACCCAGATAAATCCCAGTTTCCTTTTGTAGGCCTCAGAAGCAAACATCAGGTTTTATCTGTAGGGATAGGCGCTAACTCAGAGCAGTAGAACGCTCTGCAAGGTCTTCTGGCTAAAGGACCCACCTGTTTCTGGTTTTGTGGTGGTAAAGCAAGTATCAACTTACATGACACCTTAAAGAGGGAAAGAGCAGAGGGAGGGAGAGAAGTCTTTCCAAACCACTGGTGTGAATGGTTATCTATACACATTCACCAGTAAAAGGTTTGGAAATGGAAACACTGGCTTGTTTGATTTTCTTGCAAGTAATACTGATAGTTATGTAGTCAATAAAAGCTAATTATTCTCATGTAAAAGTGTTTCAGTCCTTGAAACAACTTCATGAGGTGGACACCATTATCACTTTTTTTTTTTTTCCAGTGGAACTTTGGTTTGAACTCAGGGCTTTTTGCTTGCAAAGCAGATACTCTACTACTTGAGCCACACATCTAGTTCATTTTGCTCTGGTTATTTTGGAAATGCATCTCATGAACTGTTTCCCAGGCATGAACCACCAGTGTCCAGCTATAAATGTCATTTTTAAAGGTTAGAGAGGTTAAGTGACATGACCAAAACAACAAAGCTGGGACTCAAACTAAGGCTTTCTAATTCAAATGTGGCTTGTTTTATTTTTGTTGTTGTTTGTTTGCTTTTAACCAAACCATTTACTTCACTACTCATTTCTTTGGCTTTTCTTCAAAGTCAGGCAGTGTTTTTTCATATTGAAACTTTTCATAAATTTTTTAGACATTTCATTTTTCTGCAGAAAGTAAGTTTATGTGCCCACAAATTTGGGCATCCATATTCTTTTTGTTTGTTTTGGCAGTAATGGGGTTTGAACTCAGAACCTCAAGCTTGCTAGGCAGGCACTTTACCACTTGAGCCACTCCACCAGCTCATTTTTGTATTTGGCATTGCTTATGCCTGAATTCTCTCTATAGGGGTGAATTCTCATGAGTTAGAATTGTTGAATTAGATTGAGAAGTGTGCGAAGTGTTTGGAGCAACTTACCCAGGTTCAGTTTTCTTTTGGGGAAGAAGAGGTCCAGACCTCTGACGCCAGCAGAACAATGTGATTTCTGAATGTTCTTCATGTACAAGATCAGTTTTCAAACACATTTATGGAAACATATCTTTGTTATATGATACCGTGTAGTTCTGATTGAATTCCAATAATTAACATTTTAAGCATGTAGTTTTTTATTGGTAGCAAGCAGGAGAAAATAGCTCTAGAGGAATGTGAATTGCTTCAGGCTAACCAGGACCTGTTAATCTGGTTATTTTCTTTTCTCCCATGCTCTGGAGAATAGGCATTATTCTTGGATTGCAGTTGGCCAGCTTGAATCAGGAAGGTTCAAGTTTTTAAATCCAACTGAATCTAGTGATTGGAATGAAGCAGGAATTTAAACTGTCCTTGGGCATAAGTCACCCTCTGTTGGCCACTAGTGGCTGTACTTGTTACTTTCTGAACTAGTACAGACATGGCTCTGTGACAAAAGAATCATTGATTCATTCATCCAGCAAACAATCCTTAAGTGCCTTCTGTGTACCAGGCACCAGACATTGATTTTTAAATTGTTAGCCTCCATGCTACTTTAACCCTGAAATGGGTCAGTAGACAAGAGATTTTTGTAGGGAAGCATACTTCAGAGAAGGTCTGGTTTGAGGAAATATTTCAGATGAGACTAATTCCCAAATTTCAACAGAACTTTGTCGATGAACATCATACAAGGGCCCACTCATACTTTCATCCCAATCATTGAATCTTCCAAGGATTCCAAGGATTCCATTTCTCAGATACTCATTTTATTTGCTGATACCAGTTTTGTTGTTCAGCCAACTTAGATCAGAAATCTGAAAAGCCCTTCAGTTTTAGAGAGTAGGTTGGTTTCTAGCTAGACATTTCCCATCTTCACAATTTCAAAGTCAAATTTCTTTCCTAGGAAATTAGAGCAGCATCTATTAGGAATGGTATTTCTACCAACACTATTGTGCAGACCCAGCTACTAATGCCAAATAGTCTGAAAAGTTATCAAAAAATGAGCCCTGTCTCATTATTCAGTGTACTGTGTGGTCAGGAAGCAGGGCCAACATCAGTCTTTCGAAATTAAGCACAAAGTATGTTGCAGCCAATAAATACCTCAATTTAAAATCCACCTGTAAAACTCTTAGCCTGAGTTTATTAGGGCACAGAAGCAACTTTTGAATCAGCCTGATGTTTATTTTTAGGGCAATGGATAATTTTGTAGTTGTAGGACATTCCCCAGTGGCAATGTCCTCAGGAGAAGTAATGGTGTTCCATTCTTGGGGTCATAGATGACTACAAAAAGTTCCAAGGTCTGGAAAGATAGAACAAAGATTTAGGAAAAAGTAAAGCAGAATGCCAGGTATCACTCGCACAGACTGGCACAGTCATGTGTCGAAAGCCTGCCTATGTCCAAAGCCTGTGTGTGGAGGTGGGCTAGAGGTTGGCATTGCTGACATCGTACTTCTTCTTGCTGTAATTTCAGACCCGGATGCAGAGTTTGCAGCCTGACCCAGCAGCCCGTTACCGAAACGTGTTGGAGGCCCTCTGGAGGATTATAAGAACAGAGGGCCTGTGGAGGCCCATGCGGGGGCTGAACGTCACAGCAACAGGCGCAGGGCCTGCCCATGCCCTCTATTTTGCCTGCTACGAAAAGTTAAAAAAGACATTGAGTGATGTAATCCACCCAGGGGGCAATAGCCATATTGCCAATGGTATTGAGCCTTCCTGTGCTGGTCCCCCCACTTTCCCAACTCTTTGGGCTTTGCTGCTGTCAGTACTTCCCAGTCTCAGCATGGTTTGGAGCTGCGGCTTTGGGCTGGGGTAGGCCAGATTATAGGGGAGGGACTTCCAAACCTGATGTTCTCAGACAACGGGCTGCTTCAACCCCACCCCTCCTTTGGGGCACCTCAACAAAGGGTCACAGTATCCTCCCTTACCTACCAGCTTGACTTTTTCCTCTCATCTTCTCCCTGGCATCAACTTCAAATGCCTGGTAATGCAGAGATACATACTGAACTACCCCACGGTGTATTTCTTGATAGCTGGGTGGTGTCCTGCTCCTCAAGGCAGGATAAGAGGTGACCTAGCCACCCAAGGAAGGCACTAATGGAGCCCCAGTTCTTCATCTTACCTTTTCAGGATCCCACCTGAGCAGAGGCAGTTGGTGTCATTGAGTACATGGCAAAGCCTTGACAAGTGGATTGGGTTGGAGCCAAGAGACTATCAGGAGAATTGAGAAGTTTTAGAGGTTGGGTAGAAGTAAAGGAAGGGATTACAGCTAAGGGTTCCAAGATTGTCTGAAAACCAAGTTGAAGGTGAAGAGGGGTTATAGTAGTGAAGAACCTGAAGGAAAGGTCTGGGTGGACAGATGTAAAGCTTGTGGGACAAGTTGGGCAGCAGGATGGAAGGCAGATTCTATGGTGAAGATCTGACTACCTGGGCCGCTGTGCTCTCCTTGCACTGGTGACAATTGATTTGCTGGCATCCCTTGGCAGTAGTGTATCAGCTTCCGATGGGAACATGCTGTATTTATTCTTAGGACCATCTGTACTGATAAAATCCAGGCTGTTTTCTTCACCTCTTCTGGGCCTTCCTAGCAGATGTGGAATGCACAGCGATGGCCTTACCAAGTTGGTGGGAAGAAATGTCTCCCTTTCTTGGAGCAGGAGTTTAGGAGCAGTGGGGTCTCTTCCTTTGGACTTGCTCTTAGCATTCCCTTCTCTGTGTTTCATCACAACCATTCCCTTTAACTCGGGAAGTCAATGAATTGGTCACTTTCTTGGCCTTACATTTGGCAGTTGTTTTCTTATTTGCAGGTGCGGCTGGGTGTGTGGCAACATTACTCCATGATGCAGCTATGAATCCAGCAGAAGGTAATGATTGCTTGACCTATGCTGCTAGTAGCTGCTGCATGTCTAGACTTTCCCTTTATTTCTGGCTTGCCAAAAAAAAAAAAAAAGCCAGAGCACAGTTTGGGTGGGAAGTTGTCACATGTCACCTGATTTTACCACTAGAGGGTGCTCCCTCCTCATTTTCAATACTTGGAGGGAACTCCTTGTTCAGGAAACATTCTTTGGCATTTAGCTCATCTTTGGGACTTCCCTGGAAAAGAGAGGGTCCTATTGGCCTGCTCCTGGGCCTTCCTTTCTAGGAAGTCTCCCTTGTATATATTTGATCTCCTGATTCATTTTTCTTCAAGAAAGATGGGCTTTTTTTTATGATACTGGGATTAGAATTCAGGGCCTCACATTTGCTAGGCAGATGCTCTTACACTTGAGCCACTCTACCTGCCCTTTTTTGTGTTGGGTATTTCTGAGATAGGGTCTTGTGAACTATTTGCCTGGTCTGGTTTCAAACCATGCTCCGTCTGATCTCTGCCTCCCAAGTAGCTGGGCTTATAGACGTGAGCTACTGACACCAGACGGAAGATGGATTTTGATGTTTAAAAATATTTCCTTTCTTACTGGGCTAGAAATAGTTGAGACAAGAATGAAATATTAAATGTAGACCTCAATTCTTATATTGCTGCTTTGGGTGTTGGCTTTCTTGTTGGAGGAAAATTCTCCAAAGATATTCTCACTGTGAGAATGAGGTACTTAGAGAAATATTAGGGGACGGTATAGTTGCTATGATCCTTATGTTACAGTTTTTATGTCTGGACAAGGCCATATGGTGGAAAGGGCCAAACAAGCTAGAGATCCACAGCACTCACATCACATTATCTACCTGAGGGTGTGGGAGGTGTTTGCAAAGTGAAGCCAAACACTTTGTGACTAAGGATCTTATTTTCTTTTTGGTAGCACTTTTCTTTCCACTCCTCTGGGAGAATAACTGTCTTCATATGTGAAGAGTTAGATGCTCCTCCCCATGTCTAAGGATTGGGATTGTTGAGGCTCTATATTCATTATTACATTCACTGCCACTGAGTCATTCCTTGCTGGGTAAAATGTAAGGCGGTAAGAGATAGGTACTTATTTTTAATAGAGTTACTAAACCATAGATTCATCATGTGTGTTAACTGGCTAGTTTTAAAGAAATCCTGTTGGGAGTGGGCACAGTATATTTTGATTCTCACCAACCCTCTGCTCACCCATCTTCCTTCAAAAAAGGGAAACATGAACTTACCTGGGTAACAAGCAGCTCACTCATACTTTTTTCTTTCTCCATTCCATTGACTGATCTGCTCACTTGGGGCCTGAATCTGGACACTTTTGGTCACCGCTGGTTGCTGTCACCATTTCCCTCCTCATTGATGGTACTCCAGTGGTCAAGCAGAGGATGCAGATGTACAACTCACCATATCACCGGGTGACAGACTGTGTACGGGCAGTGTGGCAAAATGAAGGGGCCGGGGCCTTTTACCGCAGCTACACAACACAGCTAACCATGAATGTTCCCTTCCAAGCCATTCACTTCATGACCTATGAGTTCCTGCAGGAGCACTTTAACCCTCAGAGACGGTACAACCCCAGCTCCCACGTCCTCTCCGGAGCCTGTGCAGGAGCTGTAGCTGCCGCTGCCACAACCCCACTGGACGTTTGCAAAACACTGCTCAACACCCAGGAATCCCTGGCTTTGAACTCAAACATTACAGGACACATCACAGGCATGGCTAGTGCCTTCAGGACGGTATATCAAGTAGGCGGGGTGACCGCCTACTTCCGAGGGGTGCAGGCTAGAGTAATTTACCAAATCCCCTCCACAGCCATAGCATGGTCTGTGTATGAGTTCTTCAAATACCTAATTACTAAACGGCAAGAAGAATGGAGGGCAGGCAAATGAAAGAGGACTGAGCGAAGCTAGGAGCCAGACAGCACTGCTGCATCCTGCTCCCATTACTATATTCTCTGTCTCCTGATGGGCTCCAGCTTTGAATGGAATTGGAAGAAAGGTAGAGGGCTCTCCCTGGGCTCCTGTATGTTGGCTAACACCAGTTCCTGCCAACCTCTGTTGCTGCCGCCACCTTTCCTTCCAGGCCCTAAGCAAGTGCAGCAGAGCACATCGCAGCTCCTCTGACAACCTCCATCCTGGGCCTGACAACCTGCTCTAGACTGTTATAGAGGGATAAGCAGCACATTCCCCTGGTTCCTAATAAAAAGCCTTTAAATTAAGTGGTTTTGTTGGGTTTGTCTTGCCAAAGGGGAAATGAAATGCTGTTTGCTGTTCTTGACTAAAAGCATAAATCAGGGGACACAAAGGAAGGTTTATTACATGTGTTTAGTTTTGGTTTCTGCTGGCTTTCGTGTGATGGTTTAAGACTGTAGGGCCCTGTTCCCCCTGTCATAGTAGGCTTCAAAGTGTCTCCCCAATACTTGGAACATGGCCTTTGGCAACCCCTAACTCACCAGGTGCTCTGCATCACACTGTAACACTTCCCTTGGGCAGTACAGAAGAGATCTTTCTGCTGTAAGTCTTGGATATGCCTGAGCAGTCAAAGTTTCACATGGCTCTTTGTTTTAATGTAGTTGCAGAATTAAAATTCATTGAAGGTGTAAGTCCTGAAGATTGTGTGATAAATAATAACACACTTCATTTGACCTTAAGGTTTTTACAGAGTACTTGAGCATACGTGATCACATTTGTTTCTCACAAGTCAGGTAGGCAAGGCAGGTACTACCTCAACTTCACAGACCAGGAGGAAGAAAGGCTGTGACTTACTTGAAGCCTCACAGTAAATACAGAACAAAGACCCCAAGCCAGATCTTGTATCCAAAAAGTGAGTCTAATTGTGCCTCCCTGCAAATAGAAAGTGATCTGGGGCATGTTCTTCAATGTGCTGTTACTGAAGAAGCTCCCTATCTGATGTCCACTGGGTCTGTGCCTGGAGACCCACTGTGCTGTAGGGATCAACCTGCTCCTTTTCTTGGATATCATCAGTTAGCAAGTTCTTGAGTACACAGAGTAGAAATTACCCTCCCCCCTGAAACCACCCACCTGTCATCGTAATATCCTCTGCCATTCACTCTCTCATTCAATAACCTACTAGGTTGGGGAGATGAAGAATAAAATAATCCCAGCCTTCAAGAAGTTTATTGTCTGAAGAGAAAGATACCTGGAAACAAGCAATGATGAGAGATGATGGGATAAATCTAGAATACTCTTGGAGGATATAAAGACATTAACCTGGCCTGGGATAAGCTTTTGGAAGAAGTGACATCTTCCAGGTGACACCTGGAAGACAAGCTTAACTGGCAGAAGAGGGGAAGGAAAGACTATCTCATTCTACTCAGAGACTTAAAGGTAGAAAATTAAATGCCTGGGGTTCTGTGTGCAAGTGGTTTGGTAGGACTGAAACAAGATGTGCAGTTGGTAAGCAATGCCAGGAGTTCAGAGTTTATCCTGAAGGCAATGCAGAAGCTTTACAGGGTTTTAAGCAGAGGTGGGTGTGATCGGATTTACCATTTAAACAGATCACTTAGGCTCTCTGGGGAAAGGATTAGAAGACAAGACTGGACAGGCAGGCAGACTGGTTAGGAGGCTGTTGCAGTAATCCAGGCAACTGCACGGTGGTCTGGACCAGGACAGGCAAACAGACTGGAGCCATGTTAGGGTTGTAGGAGCAAGGGGATTTGGTTACAGAGTTAATCTTAGCCTCCTTTCACCTGACAGTCCTTCAAGTATCTATGGAAAATCATGTCTGAATGTACTTGAAAGCAACTGTCAAGAAACCAGCAGGGGCTTCTGTTCTCTGCCTTATTTAAGAAGCTATGCTGCCCCTCTGATTTAGTGATGGAAAGGAGAGATGTTAATAGTGCCGAATGGTGGTCACTGGAGTCAGGATCACAGATGGAGTAGAAGAAGTGTAATGGTACCACTGTAGACATAATTTCAGAGGGTTTGCCTCCCAGCACAACCTAAGCAAGAAAGCAAAGGACTCTCCAGACCTTGTCCTGTAGACAGCTTTCAGAGCTATTGTTTGACACAGTGTCTGGCACCAATAGGCAGGATGGCAGTAAGGCAAGATGGGATTATTCAGATGTGGGGTACTTTCTGAAAGAATGGTAGCCACTAAACACCCCCTTGGCTCTAATGCTGCTTGCAAATAGTGAGAAAAGTGAGCTTCCAACCTCCCATTGTGCTCTGTGACATTCATTTAGAATTTGGGTGGGGCCTTAGCTTTTTCTGTTCTCTTACTCTAATCAGTAGTGGGGATAGATGCAATTATGCCATAGGGTTGAGCAGTCTAAAATGCCAGCAACTGGGTACCCATCACTTCCATGGGCTTACCATCTCCAGGAGTGCTATGAGTATTTGATGGCTTCCTTAGGTCCAGAGCCTTGCTAGAAAGTCATGTAGGCTCTGTGACACCTTGAGGACACAGTACCAAATCACTGTCAAGGAGCCAATTTCAGATAAGGCTATATGCCAGAGAAGATGAGAAAATAAATCACAATTTAGCCAGAGAAAAGTTTTCTTAATTGGAGAGAAAAGATCAATGTGAATGAAACAATTCTATAATAACACCAGGTAGTCTGTAGCTATGGACTAGCTTATACAGGACCGACACTGCAGTTTAGAGACAGAAAAGATGAGTGTAAGTCAGAGTTTACAGAGAAGAGGGCAGCTTTGATGGACAGCACAACAAAAAACACTTTTGTAAAAGCCAAATCATGCTAATTTTAGAAAATAGAGATAAAAAGAAAATGTCTCCAATTCCATTACACAGAGAATATGACATTTCGCTATATACATTATCTAGTATTTTTCTATGCATAAAGGTGTGTGTGTGTGTGTGTGTGTTGCTGGGAATTGAACCCAGGGTCTCATGCATGCTAGGCAAGCACTCTGCCACTGAGCAACCCCATTTTTTTGTTTTTCACTTTTCAAAAATGAGATCTCACTGTAATCGTAGAATGCGGTGCCAATCTTTCCACATCATGAAATTTCCTTCTATCACTTCAATGTAAATGGCCACATAACACCCTATTTCATAAATGTTCAACAAGAGCTTATTCAATCAGTCTCCTGGTACACCTTTAAAATAATCTATTACCAGAAAATTGTGGTGATAGGTAGAATCTGAATGACCAAAAGGAAAATAGATTGGTGGGTGTAGAGAGAAAGTTCAGTGTGGGAGAGTTTGAAAAGATTCTGCCTGAAGACCATGGTGCAGATTAGGGGATGCTGTGTGTATGGGGCAGGGGAGGCTAGCCAATGAGAAGGTCAGGGCCAGGAGCCTCCTTAGAAGATATCCTGTTTCACATCCCTCCAGGAGCCCTGCTTCATGCTACAGCACTCCTGATGGGTTCCCCAGCCTTGCTCAAGGATTTGGGAGCCCACTGCCACGTTAGCCCATCCATATCCTTGCTTAAAGTTTCATCTATTAGAAAGTTCATGGTCTCCTCCTTCCACTCTTGGATCTTGTCACTCTTCTTGGGAATAAAAGCCAAATTCCTCATCACAGCAAACAGAGTTTTACATAATTTGGTCCTAGCCTATCCAACCCTACCTGCCGTCTGAAGGTGAGGCATTAAACACAAACACATAGTTTCTTTAAAATCTAAACTTTTCCTTTCATTGTCTACATTCATTAATTTAGGAGGCTTGGTGGGTAGTACCCTATCTGGACTGTCAGGAACTTCCAGGCGTTTAGACTGGATGTGCAGTATTGTGTTACTGCCTGCTACCTTAGGCAGGTGAGTGGAGAACAAGTCCCTTGGCTGCTGCATGCAGTAGTCTGTGAATTGTCAGAGCCCTACAAACACAACCTCAACACCAAGCCATCATCACCCCTGCCACCCACATTCACTTCACAAACTCAACAGAAAGGAGAACGTTTCTTTATAAATTGAGTCACTTAATCTCCTTGTAATTTCCACTTCTGATGGCATCTTCTGCCTGCTGGGGCAACATAAAATCAGACTAATCCTTCCCCTCTCTGAAAGCCCTTCAAAAATATTAAGACAGCTGTCACATCACCTAGAAAGGGTCAGAGCACAGAGAGCCTAGAAGCCAGGCAGAGGAGTTTAGACTTGACTTGGCAGCTAATGGGGAGCTCTTGTAGTTCCTGAGCAGGGAGAGACTTTATCAGCATAAAGCGTGAGAGCAGGCACAGGACAGCCTGGAAACAGGAACTGCAGCTGAGGGGTTCTTGTCATCATCTAGACAGAGGGGAACCCAAAGAAAATTGTTACAAGATGAAAAGCACTTGATGACAATTAGACACTTGTATGGGAACTTACTGTAGGATCATTCTCTTGTACTCATTTGACTGTGTATGTCTTCTTCGTTATGTGGCACAGAATATCCTGCCTATCTGACATGACTTTCTGTGTCCCACTACTCATAACTACTTGCTGACCATGGATGGTTGTGGCCATTCATGGAGACTGGTTTTTACTGGAGGCATTGGAACGAGCAGATGCTGGGCCAGTGATGATCAATGGTCTGTATCAGCATGGCAAGGCTAAGACCCCCAGTTACTCAAACACTGATCTAGGTGGTGGTGTCACTTAGAAGATGATAGGACCCAAGCAGAAATTATAGTCACCTAAAGGAAGACAATAATGACAAAAAAGAGGAAGAGACAGAGTGCAGGGATAGTTAAGAGGCTGAATCACTAAACTTGGCAATCAGATGTACTCAGGGTTACAGAGAAGGAGGATTGTTGGATGGATTGCAAATTTCTGGGAAAGAAAGCAAGTTTTCTCAAGGGGGAATAACAAATATAGTTATGCATGTATATTTTAAGCTGGAGCAGATTTTCATTACCTGCAATCTGGATTCTGTTCAGAGGGTATTCCTAAACCACAGAGTAGATGGGGAAGGCAAGTGTTTAAAATAAGTACTCCTCAATCCCTTTAAAAATATAACCTCCAAAAAATAAAAAAGAAACAAAGAGAATTATTTAAAAAATATATATATATATAACCTCCAAACTGGGCATGGTGGTGCATACCTGTAATCCTGGCTCTTGGGAGGCTGATGCAGGAGGATCATGAGTTTAAAGCCAGCCTGGGCTACCAGCAAGACCCTGTCTCAAAAACTGAAAACAATAATTGTAACAATAATATGAAAAAACACACAGGTGGGTGAAATTTTACATACCTTTGCTTCTATGTTACTGTCATACAGCTACGGAATTTCAAAGTTCCAGAAGTTATACCACCCCCAAAGTTAATACCACCCCCAAAGTTAACTACTATTGAGACTTTTGTTATTACAGGTTAGTCTTGTCTGATCCTGAATTCTATAATAATGGATCAATATGGTACATATTCTTTTGTGTCTGGCTTCTTTGCTCTACATTACATCTGTAAGTTTCAGGTATGTTAGCGCATGTAGCAATCATTTGGTCTTTTCTATTG